AGTGGGGGAGGGGGAAGCAGGCTTCCCGCAGAGCAGGGAGCCCGATGCGGGGCTCGATCCCAGGACCCTGGGATCATGACCTGAGCCACCCAGGCGCCCCCTAATCTATTTTTTTTTTCAACAAGTATTGATCGAGTGCCGAATGGGTCTCCCCAAATATCCTAGGTGATTTTACATCTGTTGTATGACCGAGTTACTTCGAGGTCAGTTGGGTATTATTGGCATTTTCTCGACGGGGAGATGGAGGGCACTTTCCTCAGCTACACTATCATGTCTTTTGCATGAGAACTAACAATTGGAGAGTGAGAGACTTCTTCAAGGCCCTGAGACAGAAACCTTTATCCCCTGGGCTGCCGTCTCAATTCCATTACGAATTCTAGGAAGGGTGTAAGTCTGTCCTTTCGAAGTTATTACTTCTGCCAGGCAGTGTAGGGTCAGCTCAGATGAGAGAGACACCATCTGTCATTGCATCCGGGGCTGGGTCATGTTCGGGTGCCCAGAACCTGCAGCAGATGTCTAAAAATAGTCTTCCTTCCCTTGCGAATAAGAAGTACCCAAGCATGGAGAGGCTTGCTATTTACCACCGGCACTGGGTGAGAGCTTGCTCTGTGCCAGGCCCAGCCCACATAGTCCGATGTGGTAGGTGCTCCTCCTCTTGTTCTGTGCAGGCACCGAGGGGGAAGTGACTTGTCCAAGATTTCACAGCTCCTGGGCGATGGAGTCAGGCAGCCCGACCAGGAGCCCTGCTCCCAGCCCTGAGCAGTCATGATAAGCGGGGGTTACTTGCCATCATTCCTATGTTTAGGCAGAGGAATGGGAGCCAGGGCAGCCCAGCTGGGCTCTCAGGGTCCCCTGTGGGTCATCGTCACCTGCGTGCTTCTCTGAGGCCCCCCACCCTGGGAGATTTGGATCCTGAGGTCAGGGTGAGCCCAGGCTTCTATGTCGGCAAAGGGACACAGCTCAGGTGGCTGACTCAGAGCCCCCCTTGTTCTGTGGGCATTTGGGGTCTGGGGAGGGGAGAGCGGGTAGGATGGGTGAGGGCGGGGCGGGCGGAGTTGTGGAAGGATGCGAATCGGACCCCAGACCGAGGTGAGGGCGGGAGCACAGGGGCACCCCAGGGCAGCACAGGATGCTGAGCTGGGGATGACCATCCTCTGGCCCGACCAAATACAAATGACGGAAGATCATGCCTTGGCCCCGGAGTGGGGCGCATGTAGGTGACAGCTGGCTTCGGAGGCCTGTCGGCCCTTTGGTTCTCTGTGGTGTTGGCAGCGGGGCTCCCCATTTCAGCAGTTCTGTTCCATCTCTAATCCGGGGTCCCAGATCTCTTTCGGAGACTGCTGTCAGTTAACTGGCTCTTGTCCAGAAAAGTGGGCCCATGTGGACGGTTCGCCCTCACTTGCCTTCCAGGGGCCCCGTGTCGCCTGAGGGTCCAGCAGATTTCTCCCCATCAGGCGCCTGGACATTGGCAGGTGTTTACAGTGTCACTGGTATAGCTGCTTTACCATTCTTGGCGGTGCTGTGGACTCCTGTCTTGTAGAGGGTTTGCCTTTGGCATCGTGGTGAATCTCTCCTGGGAAAGACTTCAGCCAAATGTAAACAGTGCCCAGGGTCCACTGAGTCTGCTGGGAATTCGAGGTTATAGATGGCTACAGACCAGAGCTCTTCAACCTTAGCACTGTTGACGTCTCGGGCCAGATAGTTCCTTCTGGTGGGGCCGTCCTGGGCCCTGGAGCATGTCCGGCAGCCCCCCTCCCCCTCCCTACTGGGACCCGCGCGGGTTGCTGACCATGGCCAGGACCAGCAGATTTAGGCGGATGCCTGGGGTGCTGAGGGCCCGGTTTCCGGGTGACCATCACTGAGACCTCTCCGGGAGGGGAGTAGGGGCCCGACCAGTAGGCTGCATGTCCCTGGCTGTGGCCCCTGGTGGCCGTGCCAGGCCTCTCCCTTCACTCTGCTCCCTGTTTCAACTTAGGCTCTGGGGGTAAAGAAATAAAGCCCCAGATTTATATGTCTTATGCAATGCGCCTCATGGCCGTTTCAACAGCGTTGAGAAAAATGTGCAAGATTCCCAATGCTTCCGTTCATTACGCAGCCGTTCAGTGTGGCAATCTGAGAGGGGCCCACAATCTCAGCAGGAGCCGGGTGGGAGGGAGACGTGGGAGCCCCCCAGGGCTCTCGGCCACCGGGAGGGCGGCGCGCTGGTGGGAAACAGGGAAGGGCCCACATGGCACTCTGCTGGGCCACGCCAGCTGGTGCCCAGCCTCCGAGGGTGTCTCCCCACGGCGCCCGAATGCACCTGTGCTGGGCCAAGAGCCTTACGGGGTTTCTGGTTAAGTAGAGAACCTTTGGTATGGAACATTCAAAGAAAACCTTTCAAAAAAAATTTAGTGGAGCGTGAGAAGCCATTTATACCAGAGCATTCTTCATTGCCTGCAGGTGTGATTGTGCGGTCTGCCTCGTGGTGTAGGCCGGAGATGGGGGATTGGAAAAGGCTGAGCTCGTTTTGTACCATCCTTGCGTATCCCGAGGCTCTCTTTTCCACTCGTTTTTTAAAAAAGTTTTCTGCCTCCTTTTCGTGAAGCTGAGGGTTGTTTCTCTCATTGACCAGCATTGTGACCGGCCTAAATGAATTAGAACAGACATTTCAAATTCAGTAGGCTGTCAAGGAAAAAAACACAAGATGAGACAGTAATATTAAATCAGGAAGACTTTGTGGTCCCAGGTTTACTGCTGGCAGCTGATAAGCGCCCAGGGGCGGGAGCCACGGGTTGGGGGAGGAGACTGCCCACGGGCCTCAGAATCGCTCCGTTCTGTCTGGTGGTAGCTCGAGAAGGAAGGGTCTTGAGAGATCACCCAGCTGAGCTGATCTTTTATTTATTTATTTTTAAAAGATTTTATTTGTTTATTTGACACAGAGAGAGACAAGCGAGAGAAGGAACACAAGCAGGGGGAGTGGGAGAGGGGGAAGCAGGCTCTCCGCGGAGCAGGGAGCCCGGTGCGGGGCTCGATCCCAGGACCCTGGGATCATGACCCGAGCTGAAGGCAGTCGCTTAATGAACTGAGCCACCCAGGCGCCCCTAAGCTGATCTTTTAGAGCCGGCCAGAGAGCCCATGAAAAGGCTCAGGGCAGGGCTGGAAGCAAGGTACCTCTGATGCCCACCCAGGGCGCCTCCTGACCACAGTGCCCCGCTTTGCGCTAGGATGTCCTGGCTTGCTTCATGGGTGAGTGTGACCCTCTGATGAGTGATAGGACGGTAAACCCTGCAGGTCTGGATAAAAACTAGCTGGTCCTAACATTGCCTGGAGACCCATGCTCTTCAGGGTCCGCGTATAATGTGGATTAACCAGGGGTTCTCAGTAGGGGGGTGGGGGAGTGTGTCGCAATGTTGCCTCCCCGGGGCGCCCTTGGCCATGTCTGGAGACAGTTTGATTGTTTTCTGGCCTCTGGTGGGTCCAGGCCAGGGATGCTTTTAGACTTTCAGCCACACACAGGACGGCCTCCACCCCAAAGTACGGTCCAACCCCAAATAGCAAGAGTGCTGAGGTGGAGAAACTTGAATTTAACTTAATAAAAGTTGGAAATTACTGTTCAACGTGTACGTGGTTCGCCTTCCTTGAAAAAAGTAAATCCAAGCCTGGGCTGCGATGCCGTTAAAAAAACACTGAACAACGATCGGGAGGGACCGGAGGCCATTTACTTGAGAGGGGAGTTTGTGTCTGAGTCAGAGAAAGGGGTGACGCTCATGCGCTCCAGGAGGAACATTCTCCTGTTCGCCTCCCGCAGCGGCACCCTGGCTCAGCTCAGAGCGCCAGCAGAAGAGCTGTGAGGTCTTGTCCCGGGGGCCGGGGTGTCACGGAGTTCCTGCACGTGTGGCCCCCTGGTCACCCGCCAGTCTCTGCGACGGCTGGCTAAAGATGCAGATTCCCAGACTAAGCCCTGCTTACTGAAGGAGACTCCTGGGGTGGGGCCCAGGGATCTGCATTTCACGAGCCCCCGTGGGCGCCGGTGCGGGCATTGAGGTTGAGGACCCTGGCTGTAGGGGAACTCCGCTGGGCTGACGGTCGGGGCATGGTGTTTAACACCCGACTCGGTCACCTTTGGAGGACTTGCGTCTTCCTGAGTGGGGCTGAGGATTCCCTCCAGACCTCGTGTTCACGGAGGCTGGCAGGTGCGTCTGATTTAGCCCGAGACCGAAGGTTTTCACCTGACAGCCCTGACCCCCTCGTTGTTGTGTCTGGATTCCAATTTCGAAATCTTGAAACTGCTCATCCACGTGTTCGTCTGAATTTTTTTTTCAGTTCTGCCCCCTTCTGCATTGTGGCTTTTGTAGGTTTCCAGCTTTGAGCGTCTTGGTCCTAGTTGAGACTGTAAGGTTGGGAGAGGTTAGGAACAGCTGTGGAAAACCAACAGAGACAGAAAACGTTTCATTGCCTTTTCAACAGGGCCCTGGGGGTGGGGCGGGGAAGGTTAGAATAAATGCCAAAATGCAAAACAAAATTTCTATTAAAAGTAGCAGGGCAGTGGATGACCACATTCAGACTTCTTGCAAATGTTCCCTTTTCATGCTAAATTTTGGCTGGGGTTGATTTGAAAAAGCAACAAATTGTTCTTTGTTTTGAACATTGTAGTGAAACCATGTGCTACTTCCTCTTTGTGCTAGCTGACCTCAGGTTCCTGGCCCGCTGGTTCAGGGAAGGATTCGCCAAGAGGCAGATCCAAGAAGTGTGTGTGGGGAGGAGCCACGGGCAGGGGCTGGCTTCTGGCTTGGCTCGGTGGCCCTGGGGGCCCCCTTCCTGGCCCGGGTCTTTCCGAGACGGAGATCCCGGAGTCCTGAAGGCCCCTGAATGCGAGCTCACAGCCAGAGGTGGCAGGACGGCTAGAACTCGCCGGTCCTGACCGTGGCCGTTGTTTCCCCACATGGTCGGGGTGGAATGGGGCTGGCCTCGCATCTCATGTGCTGCTTTCTTTTCCTTCAGGCCTGGGCAGTTTTCAAAGGGAAATTTAAGGAAGGGGACAAAGCTGAACCGGCCACTTGGAAGACGAGGCTACGCTGTGCTTTGAACAAGAGCCCAGATTTTGAGGAAGTGACAGACCGGTCCCAGCTGGACATTTCTGAGCCATACAAAGTTTACCGCATCGTCCCCGAGGAAGAGCAAAAATGTAACTATCCGTGCCGGGCGCTGAGCCCAGCAGAGGCTGCCTGGGTCTGGGGGGGACATCTGGGCGAGTGGTTTTAGCTCAGCCCACTGTGTGCTCCTCTGTGTAAGCAGATACTGAGAGCTCTTCCCCCTGACCTCGGCCACCATGTGCTGGCCAGGTGGCAGCTTCCAGCTGAGTGGGAGGTGGTGGCCGTGGGAGGAAGGGCGGGGAGGCTGCTCACCGCTGTCAGACAAGGGCTGATGGGGGGGCCTCCCCGAGGCGCGGTCACGGGGTTGGGCAGGAGCAAGTGGCCTGGGCAGGGTGGACAAGCGTTCCTTCTGTTCTAACAATGCCCAGAGGAGGCTAGGGGACAGTTAGGTGGACGAAGTGGGGAGAGGGTAAGGTTCTTGAATGCGGTGGGGGACAATGGCACCATTGGCCTCATGGCCAGAGATTAGATACACTCGGCACGTGGTTAGATCCTGGTCTTATTTGGGAAGTCCGGGAAGTGAGGATTCTGGTCGGGCCTTCCAGCTCTGAAATCCCGACAGAGCATTCGCAAGGAGATGAAAGCAGGAGCCGCCCAAACCTGCCTCACGTACCACGGCCCTGCTGTGGCGCCCTGGTCGGACATGGCTCTTGGCCGGGAGGCAGCGACCTCCGGTCTGGCCTCAGAAGCCTTTGCGAAGTGGGGTGCTGTGTGCGGATCAGAGCTGGCCCGGACACGAAAGCTCCTTATCGTCAGGGGTTGAGAACATTCTTTTAACACATCCCTTAGCCATTAGATGTAGCCATTAGACCCCTGCAGCCAAATCCCTTGCTTCTTCCAAGCTCTTTAGTCATTCAGGAAGCCTGAAAGAAATAGAGCCCTCAGAAACTCTCCGGGGCTGTGCAGATGTTCTGGATTTGAGCTCGTCCCACTGGGGGAGGGTTGAAAATGTCCACAGAGAATTGAAAAAAGAAAAGTGGCTCTCCCAAATCTATAGTGAGCCTGGCTCAGAGAGTCATTTAACCCCTCCCCAAGGGAGCCAGCGTAAGGACAGAGACGGTGGGATGGAGAATGTGAGGCTCGGGTGATACTCGGTCCGCAAGCCCAGCTGCTGGATGTCCTGGCCCCGGCGTGCACCCGTAGTTTGGGGGGTTGTCAGAGGTGCTGGTCGTTTGTAGCTTCACTGTGTGTAAATTAGCACCTAACTTGACTGAGTCAGAACCATTCAGCAGTAAGTCAAACTGACCTTCCTCTGGAGAACCTGACGACCTTGACAGGGAGGCCTCGACCTTGACAGGGAAGCCTCAACCTTGACAGGGAGGCCTCCTAGCTAATGCTCTGGGAGGGCTCTGAAAGGCCAGCCCTGCATCTCTCCCCCTCACCTCCAAGTTCTGGATAATTTTTCATCAACACCAAATGAATTGTGATTTGAGGGAGTGGAGAAGTTTCTCTTGGTTCCTCCGCCCCAGGATCGGCCAAGCTTGAACTGGCAGGTGAGCCCAGCTTGTTTATAGCGTGGGGTGCAGCCAGCATCACCTGCCAGGGTGGGTTTTACAGAAGAAGCTGGTTCTCAGGGGGCAGAGGGACGCTGCATTTGCATAGTGTCTAAATGGACCCACTCTGCTCTGTACTTCAGTGGTTTGCAAGCTTCACTGGGGGTGCCCCCTCCACTCCCTACTTCCCCCATCCACAGCTTCTAGCGAATTCTTGAGTCTGTCCAAGTAGAATTGAGATTCAGTTGGGATGGAGCCATGCATGGGTCAGTCAGGTGCCTGTTGGTTATAAGACATGGCACACGGATCCCTTGATAAGGCAGATCTTTGACCTGGGGGTGGGGGCGGGGAGGAAATGAGCCTGGGGTTGGGGGGCTTACTGTGGGGCAGCTCTGTGCCTGGAGGCCGTGCCTGATGGAGCAAGCCTTCCTGGTGCTCTGTGTGCACGCTCCGTCTGGTGTGTGTGCACAGATGCGCGCTGTATATTTGGAAAGGCCACAAAGACATTTTCTGTCAATTAACTTTAAAAAATGACTCCAATCTGCACACACATTTTGCCAGGAAATCTTCTGAGTGTCTTCGAATAGCCCGGCTTGTGAATGTAACCCATATGGGTGGTGAACGCCTGGCGTGAAGGGTGTCTGGTGGGCACTCCTTTTCCAGCTCAGCAAATGGGGACGAGCCACATGGCCGTCCTCACCCTCTGAGTGTTAGAAACAACAAAACCGACTTCTCCCTTTGACTTGGCTGCTCAGACAACTGAGGCAGCACGGGAAATAATTTCTAGGCCTTTTCCAAACTGGTGAAGACACCGACTGACTTTTATTTCCTTCAACTCAGCATTAAAAAAACCCCAAACCAAAAAGCTGACTGTTTCCGGCCCCGATGACGGCTGTGGTGGGCTTAGTGCCGTGTGTCACGTGTCTGTCCGGTTTTCCGCAGGCAAGTTGGGCATGGTGACTCCTGGCTGCGTGAGCGAAATCCCCGAGATGGAGTGTGGGCGATCCGAAATCGACGAGCTCATCAAGGAGGTGAGCGGGCAGCCCGGCCAGAGTGGCCCCAGCCCTGGAAGCTGCGAGGGCCTCGGGGAGGAGTGGCATTGCATCTGCCCCGCCGAGGCATTCCGAGCCCTGGGCACTCTCGGGGTGCGGCACCTCCACCCCCCGCCCCGGTTCCTCAACTTCATCCTGGGGGCCGGGGCTGGGCTCCCTGCTCTGTGCTCCAGCTGTAAACTTGTCCTGTTCTAAACATTTTGAATGGCAGTCTTAGAAAATGCATCATGGAACCCCTTGGCTTCTTCGGTGGGCTGCACTGAACAAAATGTAGACCCCCCACGCGGCTTGGGGTGGTCCTTACGAGACGCTCCCAGTGGGCGGGCTGCCTGTCTTAGAATCTGCCCCTGGGAGGCGGGTGATCAGCCTGTGAGAATTGTATGCAAACTCACTTCGTAGGCTCTAAGTAAAGGCTTAACGGGGTCTCCTTAGGCAAAATGGGTGGGGTTTTGGATGCCAGTTTTAGCTCTACAGATACCCTTTCTGTTACCATCCGCCTCTTCTGTGTTTATGGCTGTGACCAGGTGGACCTAGCGTAGCTGAAATCACCCCACACAGTCCTTATAAAAGGTGGTGTGGGTGCTATAGAAATCCTTCCTAATACTCGTGTGGCAATAGCGGAATTTTTAGGAGTAGCCCGTCGTCTGAGGATGCAGATAACAAAATGTAGCCTCCTCTCAGCGGCCTGAGTTTTGTGCAGATGGCAGATGCTGAGTTTCTGGGTGGTCTCTGGCAGCTGACCGAGTGAATTCCTGGCCTCACATCTCCAGCAACATCCCGTTTTTCCGGCAGGGCTTTTCTGCTGACTCAGCTAAGAGAGTGAGGTGGTTGGGTTGCCACACCAGGATCCCAAGAACTGCAGAGTTCAAAACGTTGGCTAATCAGATGTATCAGCATCTGTTCAGGAATGGGCCAGAGGTTGGAAGTCCGGACGTGGAAAGGGAAGGAGGACGTGCTAAGTCATGGCAGAGTCTGTCCAGTGTCACTGTTCACTGGTGTCCCAGAACCTTCAGCCTCTCCGGGGCATCGGGGCAGCTGGATGACCTGGCCATTCCGTTTTGCGACAGGCAGTTTCACAGAAAAGGCCATGAACTTATTAGGGGTCCTGCAGAGGCTAATCACTCAGGCACATGGTTTGATCGCTATGCCCGGTGGGTTTGTCTTGGATCCTTCACGATGAGAAGTAAAACTTTCCTTTTGTCTTGGGATAAAGGTGACAGTATGTCTTTGGTTAAGTCTAAACCGTTCATCTCTACAAACACTGGAGTCCCACTCTGGAAGCCCAGTGACCACAGCACTCTTCTCTCGCCCCTGTTCCTATAGCCTTCCGTGGACGATTACATGGGGGTGGTCAAACGGAGCCCCTCCCCGCCAGAGGCCTGCAGGAACCAGCTCCTCCCAGAGTGGTGGGTGCAACAGTCTGGCGCAGGTGAGGATGGGCCTCCGGGCCTGCCCCACATGAGGGGGTGGAGGGTGTGGGGCGTGGCACTCACCCCCTTTCTGCCTTCAGGCAGTGGGGGTCACGTGGGGCCATGGAACTATGGTGATCCCTATTTTATTGAAAGTAACTGAGCCCCCTACACCACTGCCTCTTAGGAGGGCACAGGGACCCTTCCCCCAGGAGGGCTCTGTTTGCCGTCTGGGCTCCTGGGAGGGTCGGACGGGAGGGAGGGGCGGTGGCAAACCCCTCCCAGACCAGAGAAGACGCAGGGGCTTTTGGCCACACTCAAGCTTGCCATGTGGGCCTGCCAGCCACTCTCCTAGGACATCAGGGACCCCTCAGAGCCACGGGGAGCCCAGGGCATCAGGAGAGGAGCGGGCCCAGGGCCAGGACTGTGCAGTTGCTCAGTGGGAGCCCTGGATTTGAATCCCATGGAGGGGGGTTTGTGTAACTTAGTCAAGTCTCATCTGATGGAGACCCCAGGACCTGTCCCGGGGGGTCACGGGCTGAAGGAGACATTCACGCATTTATCAGCTTCTGATGCCTCCACCCCACCTTCCCACTCGAACAGCTCTCCTCCGCATGCAGGGATTGCTGTGCCTCCTCCCTCGGGCTCTTCCCCCCACTGTTCCCCTGTGGGAAACTGGGAGGTGACTCTGGCCCAGCTGACTTCAGAGGTCGCCAGGCTGTCAGGTGGCAGTTTGGCCTCCGGGGCCCTGGGCGAGCCCCCCTCCCTGCACTGTGGTGACACCTTGGGGAAAGCTAGCTCGGGCCCCAGGTCCCTCTCTGGAGACAAGGCCTGGATGGTGGGCATGCAGTCCCGTGATATTTTGGGAGCAGGGCCTTGGGTGGGAGGAATTGGGACCCCAGAGCATCACACTGACCCTTGGTCAAAAATCACACAGCACAGAATGTTTCTTCTCCCTCTTTCCTGGTTGAGTTGAGGTCTGGTTTACGAAACGTGGGTTACCGTGCTGGTGCGGGGGGATTCCCAAATTCAGCAGAAGCCTGTGGCAGGAACTCAGGAGGACACCATGTGTGGCTTTTAAAGAAACTTTTGGAGAGGGAGCATTTGGGTTGGTTCCCCACACAGCTGGGTCTGAATCTGCCTTTCGCTTTCTCCGGCAGGCTTGCCGCTGGGGACGGGCTACACTGCGTACGACGCGCACCATTCAGGTATGGAGCCGTGCTGGGCTGCGCTGGCGGGTGGGACATGGGTGCGCTTCGAAGGCAGAGCTCAGGGGACCTGTGTGGGCGTGCCCAGGTGCATGGACGAGCCGATCTGGTGTCAGAAGTCAGGACCCTGATTCCTCCTCCTCACTGTTTGCTTTTGGAGCAAGCGAGGGGCCGGCCTTTTTGAGGTTCTTCTCGGATTGGACCAACAAAGATCCTAAGAGGTCTTTCTGCATAACCTTGCAGGAGAAGAGCCTGGGGACAGCTCGGGCCCAGCTCTGCCCCTCTTCTGTGACCCCAGGCAGAGTGATTTGAGACTCAGAACCTCACTAGAGTGTGGTGAGGATTAAATGGAGTGTCATTAAAAGTTTCTGGTAGGGACGTCATTGGTCAACAAATGTCACCAGTGTCTGTCATGAGTATCCATTTGTTTTACTCTCTTCCACACTCAAGTTTGTAATGATACTAATGAATGGTGATGATGATGGGGATGGTGCTGCTGCTGCTGGTGGTGGTGATGATGGAGATGAATGGGATGAAGGAGATGATGATGGGGATGATGGAGATGATGGTGGGGATGATGGAGATGATGGTGGAGATGATGGCGATGATGGGGATGATGATGGGGATGATGGGGATGATGGAGATGATGGAGATGATGGAGATGATGGAGATGATGGAGATGATGGAGATGATGGAGATGGTGGTGGAGATGATGGGGATGATGGAGATGATGGAGATGATGGTGGAGATGATGGTGATGATGGTGGGGATGATGGCGATGATGGAGATGATGATGGGGATGATGGGGATGATGGTGGGGATGATGGCGATGATGGTGGGGATGATGGCGATGATGGTGGCGATGATGGAGATGATGGTGGAGATGATGGAGATGATGGTGGGGATGATGGCGATGGTGGTGGAGATGATGGCGATGATGGTGGAGATGATGGAGATGATGG